CACACACACACACACACACACACACACACACACACACACACACACACACACTTTTGTTAAAAGTAAATGTGTTAAAATCCCCTTGCTGAAACATTTCATCAACAAAAGACTATTATAAGAATCACTTTAAAACTATTTCATTGTTTTCAGTGGTATTAAAAAAACAACTATTTGGTACTGATGTTTTTCAGAACATTTTACAAATACTAGGTATTTCTTTAACCGTAAGCAACATTTTAATCCATTTAAAACATGAACAACATCACTCGTGTCATATTTAATGAATAGCTGTTTATTTTGTTTAAAATGTATGACTTCAGGGAAGCCCGCCTGGAATGCTGATACAAGAACTCAGTCGTAAATACATTTGAGTTAAATCTGTGAGGTAGAAATGTAGGGTTGTAACCAACCGTAGCGACACGCTAATGTTTGAATTATCTCGATTTAAACGTTTGAAGACAAGCATCTCAGAAAAACAAAATACATGTACAATATGAAATGTTACCCATGAGATACTCAAGCCACAAAAAAGTAATGCTGGAACTACTCCTGGTGATTATTTTATAGCCACAACATTTAAATCAACTTTTTTTTGTACTGCATTTAATAAAATCTGCATTAGCAACCTCTTCATGCATTACAATGCACTATAAAAATGATAATATTGCTCCTTATTAGGGCTGACAACAAGAAGATTATAAAACCCTGTTTAAAAACAACATGCACTCATTTTAATGGCATTACTTGTACAAATATCAGTTCAGACCAGTGCCATTAGTCTTTTCAGGTTTTAAACCCACAATTAGAATTGACATTTATTTCACAAGACACAATCTTTGTTGACTTATTTACATCCCTATCATCATTCATGTTGCTGTGGATGTTTTTTTTTTTAAATGTTGATATGAGGAGAAGCCAATGCATATCTTCATACTGTCTTCAAGACATCAATGCACTCAAGGCTGGCTTCCCACAAAATCTCACTCGGGTTTTTTTTTTTTTTTTTTTAATTCAGGGTTCCTGCCCAAAAGCACTTTAAGTACACTTAGTATGCAACATTTGTTCACAATGAATGAATGTTTTTAGAAAACATACAAAACACAAAGTTTAGTCAGCCTGAATACACGGGGATTGCACAGAAAGCTGATAAATGTGCACTTAAAAACCAACACAAACATAAATAGCAACATAGCTACTATACACATAAAAAAAAGAAACTTCTAAACCCAAAATTTTCAGATACAGCTATTGGGAATAAATGTTAATTAATGATTAATGAAAACTGAGAATATGTGGACAGGCAAATATAGCCATAACACTGATGGAACAGAGGGAAACAACATATAGCTGATTGTCAATAAGAGAAAAATAAAAGTGCACAGATTACATAAAAACACAAAAAAGTACCACATTTAAATATGTGCATTATTTTAAAAATTGTATTTCAGTATAATACCAACCAATTTGCATTGATTAGACTGTAATAAAAATACAAATACATTAAAATCTAGCTAGCATAATGCTATCATAGCCAATTTCTTTGAAGTACATACAATTTACTTACATTTATTATAATCCTTATCAGTTGACTCTTTACTTATTATTTCAGTTAAGCCATTATTTTCATTTAATCTGATACTTTTACAGATCTTGGCAATCAGAAAAATTGAATCGTTTTTGGAGCACAGCTTCAAAATAAATCAGATTTACTTTGGTCTTGGTATTCTTTCTAATGAATTTTAACGTCCTCCATTTGTAAGATTTCGCAATTTGATTGCTGCTTCGGGGCAATTTATTTTGTCTTACGTATCAGCATCTAAGATGTATGAGAGAAAAAAATCAAGTGTGTTATGGCTTTATTACATCAAGAACCGGCTTGGATTAAAGGCTAATGTGCAAGTTGAAGTGTGATGACCGTGGTGTTTAATGAAGTTATTAAAGAAGATGAACAGCAGCAGTAGTTCAGAATCACCAACTGTGTCAGCTGAGGAAAACATTCCCAGTCATCCTGGTTTACTGGTGCCTAGTTATCCTAATCTATCAAGAATGAACATCAAATTTAGCTCCATACATCATTAGAAAAAAAAGGAGTGCAGGAGAATTTTGGACTGCAGTTTTACCACAACCTTCCAGAGACAAAAAACAAATGTACCTGAAAAGATTTACTAACTTTTAAAAGACAGTTCTGAGTGCAGGGAGTGGTGTTATTCTGCTGAGTCGGAGTCCAAGCTGTTGTACTCTGCCGTCTCCATCTTGAGGATGTAAGGAATGATGCTGTCGATAGAGACGTTGCCTATCAAGCCGGTGAAGAAGAGCTCCTCCGTGATGCTTGAGTTCATCAGGCGCAGGGCGGGCAGACGAGTCAGGATGCGTGTCAACCTGAGAAAAACAAAACAAAACAAAAAACTGCTGTATATTCTACACCTTCTTCACACCTGGTAGTTACCACGAAACATCAACATTTGTTGTGACAAAGTACGCTTTTTATTTTATCCTAGTTTGTTTCATTTTTTTAACACTGAACAACTCTTTTTTTTTCTTTTTCAGGTAATTTTTTTAATAATCAAATAATGTTAATTTTGTACCTGTAAATGTCTTCAGGATAGGTTTTCTGCACATAGTCCTGCAGCTCCATCAGTGCTTTCTCTTGGAACTTCTCAATCTGGCCGCTGCTGTCCACACCTGGGTGATCTGTTGTCAAACAAACACTAATCATTTACTCTTTTTGACAAAGGCAAACAACATCCATTTGTATATTGATGGAATAAATCAAGACTGTCACCTGGACTGAACAGTACAATAGCCTTTAGGTAGGCGTATTCATAACTGTCGATCTCCAGCCTCGTCATGCTGTTACAGAACTCCTGAAACTTCCAGATGTGCTCCATCACCTGCTTCACTCTTTCTCCTGACTGTTTGTCTGAAAAAGAAACAAAATGCTCAAATCGCTGCATCACTGTCAGCCTCTGGAGTTCGTCATGGAGTTCCTCAATGTCCTGTGCTTGGACCAATATGTTTTACTTTATATCGCTTACATAAGATATAGAACAACATGGTAACAAGTCTTTAAGGTGTGCTTATAGTCATTCTAGCTGGTGGATTTTGTAAACATATATAAAGTAAATGGTTTGTCAATGTGTTTATAAGGTCAATCCTCCTCTTGCCTTCACAATTTAACCAAAACCAGGAACATCCTGCTTTATCATAGTGATGCAAAAGAGTGAAACCACGCGCTTGTTGCTTGCATTTCTAGGTTATACAAGACTAGAGAATTAGCGGAATACAACAGGTCCTAATTTTCCAATTTTAGATTCTGTAAAAATAATTTTGGAATTTAAAACTCTTCAGAACAAATTACTTCTTAATGATCAAGCATCATAATATTTTTAAGACCCAATGGGCCTCATGCAAGAACATTTTCGTATTCTTATCCTAAATTTCTCTTACTTTTGTTCGAATGAAGGGTTCGTACGAACATGTCACGTCAGATTCAACAAACTCTTCTATCTTCAGGAAAAGTGTGTAAATGAGGAGCGTAAACTGATGAATGCGTATCCAGGTGCTCGTGCACGAGGAGAGGTGATTTACATAATTACCACTCCAAAAACACCATATAAGGTAACATTTCCTGCCACACATACCAGGAAGTGTTCATTCATGAATGACATCGCAAAGTAAAAAAAAGAACTTTACAAGTTCGGAGATTGAAGTTCTGCTCTCGGAGATCCACACACACACACAAAAAAAAGTCATTTTAGCAGCGTCAGCTGTAGAATTAAAGGATCTGCTTTACAGCTGAGGAATTAAATGACTTTTTTTGTGTGTGTGTGGATCTTCGAGAGCAGAACTTCAATCTCCGAAATCGTAAAGTTCTTTTTTTTTTTACTTTGCTATGTCATTCATGAATGAACATGAATCACATTTATTTTCAACTCAAAATATCTTCAAATTAACGAAATATAAAGTTATTAATGAAGAAAACCCATCTGGATAACAGCAGACTGACTGCTCGTAAAATATACGACAGGTCTGGACCACTCGTGAATTTTGTTCGTATCTGAAGAAAATCTTAGAATACGAAAAAATTGGTGAATGCCACAAATTCTCCTAAAACACTCGTACGCACAACTTAAGAACAAATCTGTTCATATGAATGGTTTTTGCATGAGGCCCATTGTTCCATTTTGTTTTTAAACTTTAGACTTTCTTATGGTTCCTAGGCATTTTTAGAGCTTTCATTTATCAGGCTCTTAGAGAACTGAGAGGCAGATGTCCTATGTGCCTAAAAACTGCATATAAAACTACCTTTTTTCTAATTAACGTTACGAAAAAGGCTCAGGTGACCTTGAGCTGTCCCTGAGCCCTGGTCATGATTGTACTATATTAATATTATCCACTCAATATTAATGACCTACTTTATGTTGTTGATGATTTGTTTTGTTTGTTGCTAAATAAGGTCACTTAAAGACATAAACATGCTGTCACCTTTAAGTAATCTGTTGTCCATCTTTGTAAATCAGTAGCAAATATTGTAACATTCATATCAGAGCAATCAGATAAAACTCAACAACAAAGTTGTTCAACCAGATGTGCACATTGATCAACAATGACAACAATCTAAAAACAGTTGTAAAAAATAAATAAATCACATTTGTTTACTCCTGTTCATACGTGTGCTTCCTACTGTGAAATGATGACGAAGTCTTTGGTCCGTACCGTCCTGGATGCTGCTTTGCAGGTGGTTGATGATGGCAGAGAGGATGGTCGATAAGTTCATCACATGAGCGCACTGAGCAAGGCCCAAAGTGAACAGCTCGTTCCAGCAGGCTCGCACCAAACTGGTGTTTGCCTCCTGACTGCGAGATGCAGAAACACATATGAGACAGGAGGCTGCAGTGTTACTTTGTAGCAGAAAGACTTCATTACGTCACAGGTTTTCATACCCAAGAGCTGAAAAGGCAGAGATGGAGCGTGCCCAGTGCATGGAGAGGAAGAGAAGTCTGGATGCTGACTCACAGATGTAGTGTACATTCAGATACTCGGGCATGGGGCTGGGCATGGTCAGCTAAAGAACAGAAGTAAAGAAAAGAAGCATTAGAGAAGAATAGAAAACAAATTTAAACAAAGGAAATACAGAAAAGGTTCTAATTGTTGGGTTTCCAAAAATCAGTTAAGACTCATTTCACATGAGCAAATGTCCAAAACATGACATTTTACTTCTTAGGAATAATACACACTTCTCTTACTATATGTCCTGTACATATAATATATGTATATATTATATATATTAATTGGAGCTCAAATATATTCTCAAAAGACGTCTGTGCTCATTCCTGGCCCTAGAGGGCGGTGTCAGATGGTGGGGAGCCAGGGGAACACAAAGAATTAATAATGACAACAAATTTTTACATGTGATGAATAAATAACAGACATTACATTTAAGTATATAAAATATAGTTCCATGATTTGGATGATTTAAACACTTTCTTTAGAACTTCACAAAGAACACACTCAGATTAAAAAAATGCAGATTTCTTCAGGTTTTATGTGATTTTCTACCTTTTAATGAATGCAATTCATTAAATGGTCAAATATGAAGAGAAAAGTCATTTTTACATTAATTCTGCTGATATTGTTTCCCTATAATATTACCAATTGTGCAGTTTTTAATGTACAAGTACAACTGGCAACAAAAAAAAGTATATAAATTGGAATTTTGTCTGTACACTGGTAAAAATGTGTAAACAGAGATAAAACTTCCAATGCTTGACAATGAATGGGTATTTTTGCCTTTATTTAACCGTGGGCAATTAAAAATACACTATATGTATGAAAACAGTACAAAATAATTTAATTTGCCACACTAACAGTTTTCTCCCTTAAAATAAGTTCAAAGGGATATATTTAAAGGATTACAGCTCATGTTATAACGTAATACAATTTATTTTTCATATTGAATCACATTTATGATAGTATAGTTTAAATTATAAATAAGCTTAGCACATCCGAAAAGCCAAAACTTTGTTTATTTTTATTTTTTTGGGCTATAATCTGGTGTAGAAGTGAAATTTGCAGATTTTTATATTAAACTACAAATATTTTCACAGAGAAGATCATGAGTTTTTGGAAATAATAAAATTAAACAGAGGTACACCTTTGAAATGATCTCAGACGTGTGTGTGTCTTGTAGTGTTAAATTATTTAATTCCATTTATTAAAGAGGCAATATCATATAAAATCAACTTTTTTGAGTTTTATATCATGTTATAATGTTATACTCTCATATAAAAAAACATGCCCAAAGCCTTGCTTTGACTCCTTCATGCAATATCATATAAAATCAACTTTTTTGAGTTTTATATCATGTTATAATGTTATACT